TTGAGAGGGACGGGGATTAAACGCTAATGCCATGAATAACCGCAGTAAAAATCCGAGTATAAGAACACTTATTTTGGCGGTTCATGCTGATTTGGTTCTTATGTAAAGGGTTATCATCTGCAAAATCAGTCCGGCTTTAAGTGTTCTTAAAAAAAGTTTCTAAAAATAAGGAACACACCAGGCTACCAATAGATGAAATCAATATAACAGTACATATTTYATTTTGTTTAATATTTTGTTACATTTAATTGGGATGAAATTTTTTTGTGCAAAGAAAAGTATTGTTGATCTTTGATATTTTTCCATATCAAAACAACTTTCATTTTTCAGGCTGTATATGTGTTCTTATATAAATGGTACTTTATTTCCTAAAATCAGTGAGGCCTGGGTGTTCKTAATCCACTTGTTCTTATATGCGGGTTTTTACAACGAGTGAGAGCCTTTTAATAGCACAAAATGTTGTAGTTTTTATGAATGTCTCTCCCRTCTGTTTTAATTTCGCAACTTATGCAAATTTTGAATTCTTAGAATAATGGRGCTTTAATTGAATGAAACTTCTCTTTTGCATGGCGGCTTGTGTCATGTACTCGAAACGTCACTTATCCTGTTCTGTATTTTAGCCATATATTATCAAATATCAATTGCCCTAGGACATTACAATAACATGAAAACATTCTAATTGTTTTAACGCTAATTATAAGACTTAGGCATAGTCAAGTATATAAACATGTATATGAGCAATCATTTAAACATGATTTATAACATGAAAACACGATTCACTTGAGGTCTACTTTAGGAGATATTCCAAAGAAAAATTCCATGAATGCAGGCTTTTATATCGATGTAAAGGAAATGTGAAGACGCCCAACGAAGACTTTAATAAAATCTACCTTAACGAGATGGAAACGTCTTGAATCAAAAATCATATATAAGAATCCTTGGATCTACGAAATACTTCTGATCAAAAAGGACAAACCGCGAGGCTGAACGTGACTAATCAGACTCAGCTCGGTCAAAAGTTTTTACTTGACTCATTGGTTTTGAACAATTAGACTTTTTGTTATTCTTTGCTCTTTATTTCCCTTATTTAGATTACCCGTGACAATGATGACAAAATGTCATCGAAACGTCGAATTCAAGCSTTAGTAGTTCGATATCAAAAGTCAATCTTATACGTAATGTAATAATATACTAAAATTCTTATTGATGTGTCCAAATTTCATGCGAGTCAGTTATTTAATAAAAGAGATGTATAAATAAACTTATCTTTCGATCTATGCAATATAGGATAAAACAGTTTTCCACAATTTTGGTTGGTAGTTCACTGGTATATTTTTAATGTGACAACTACAAATATTAGAATTCTTCAGTGGTTTTACGCATGTGCAAGGGAATGCTTATCAATACTTTTGTACTTCCCACATGGTTTAGCACGTGCTGGCCATCCCTCAAACTCTGTCGCATTACGACTTTTTTTCCCTTTGCAGTGAATCGCTCAAATTGAAAAGAAAGAAGACGACTGAAGAGTACAGCGAGTTTATATTTACTGTTGCAAATAAAACAAAAACCAAGACTAAAAGAGACACTTCATACAAAAAGTAAGGCGAAACTCTATACCCTGTTTTTAAAATTTCAATCATTTTTTTATTTTTTTTATTTTTTTATTTTCTTATTTTTTATTTTTTTGAATTGGCCGATAACGAAAAGAGTAGGGGACTGGGACTGATTTTTTTTAAAGTGATACAATCTACAAAAATCTATTGTCGGGAGTAAAACATATAAAAGTTAGCTAAAGTTTAAAGTTTCAGAAAGTTTAAGTCATTAAAAATTGGAATATATATATATATTTTTACATTGATTTCTAGAATTACAAAGAAGTGTTATTGCTATAAGTTCAAACCTCATGAAACTCAGTCAGCAAGCATTTTATATCTATGGTTCTCTCTCACATGATGGAGATATTCTTCCTGGAACCACCATTATTTAATTAGATTTTGAAGTTTGGACCCAGTCCCGTTTTTTTGTTTTGTTATCGGATCGGTCAATTTCATACGGAAGAGTAAAAACAAAAACAAGAATTTGGCCTTTTTCTGTTTTAGTGAACAACACCAGTTGCTATAACTCGAAGCCGCTGCACGACGTTCCAAGATCAGTCGATGTTTACCTCAACGTAGCTGCAGCTGTCATCCTCATCCTTTCCGTGGCTGCGAATACATTAGTTTTACGTGGAATCTACCTAACTCRCTGCAAGCCTATCAGTTACATCCTAATCACTAACATTGCTTTGGCTGAGCTTATTGGTTCATTAGTCGCCCCCTTTCGGCTTTACTMCTTCACGAGCCCTTGGCACTGGATGCTTGGTATGGTCATGTGCCGTCTGATATTTTCAGCAARTATTTGTTGTTCAATCGTGGTATCTTCGAGCCTTGCAACTTTCTCAATTTACAGCTGTTTCATATTAAGAAAGCCCAATACAGCCAAGTTGAGAAGAGCTGTGCATGTCTCAGTATTCATATCATGGCTATGGGGACTTGCACTTTCCCTTCCATTCTCAGTTGTGGCAAAAATTGAAGCCTACCCTCTGTGTAAAGGCGGAGAGYATGTATTGTGTCGTTTTSAGGGCTATRACAAGTCCATCCAAATATATRTCGGCATTGCGACGTTTGTATCCCGGCTGTTGGTCCCTTTTGCAGTGACGATCTTATCATATGGGGTACTACTCGTGAAGATCAAAAATCTTATCGGCAAATCACAAGGTTATATCGTAAGCCAAGAATCAACAGGGCGTGTACYTGCCATCGAAAACCACGAAGATCAAAACATCCAACAAGATCCTACTAAGGACAGACATGCTGAAGGGCAGCAGGAGCAACAAGAGGAGCAAAAAGAGGACGGGACGACCAACGAACCACTCCCCATCATAAACGAGCTGGAGAATAAGCTACGAAGAATCATCTACTGGATGGTGATTATCTATCTTGCTTGCTACGCGCCTGAACACTTTGCATTCCTCTCGTGGCGCTTTGATTGGTTCGTAGTCGGAAACAAGATGGTCTTTCGCAAGCATACGGTGGTYTTAATGCTCRTTCCCAAGCTCTTGCATCCAATTTGCTTTGGATGGGCAGCAGGGATCATACAGAGAAATTTTAACGCTGCCTCTCAGTGACTGAATTATGTTTGCTTGGCATAAAAGCCAACATGTGTCTCCATTAGAAAGGAGTTTATAACCGGGATATAATTCTATTGCTTATGGCTGCTTCTTACGGACCAGATCAGCTTATATCTCTAAATATTAGGAAGACCAAAACAATTAACTCAGAGGTTAAAGAAAAATTTAATAGATTAAATGCGATTACATGTTTTTTAGACTTATTAATTTGTGCCAACCATAACACTGAAGGAGGCATTAAGGTTAGGTCTGTTGTCTGTATCTTTGGATCATAAACTATTTATCTGTGGCTTAGTTAATTGCTTATAATTGAAAAAATAAACTGGAATCACTAAGACGTTTTTACTGTAAAACTATATGATCTAATTGAATTTAAATGAAATTCAAATCTAACTCAATTCAAATGAATATCTATTACAATTTGAAAAAAATTATCTAGCGAATTTGATYATAGTTACAAATGCGGAATAATCTGATACTATACTAGACATGCCGCACAATTACAGTAGCTTTGGCACTAATTTACAAGTAAACTTTCAGTTAAATCAGCAAATGTTTCAATCACATACTTCTGTGTATACGATGCTAAGCCCCGAGGGTATAGTATGTTCTATTAGAATGCTTTCCCATAAAATATTTTTATATTGATAATATGCTAATGAACTTTGGACAAGGATAAGTAAGGATTGAAATTACTCCAAAAAGGAAAAATTGCAATGTTTAAAAAAATGGCTTTTTGTGATTTTTTTTTAAAGTTTAGTTGTGTTTTCTGCTATGATTTCACGTCAGCCAGCTTCGCTTAGTTCTTGATTTTACTTTCATTGTAGCTCTTTTCAGCCATAAAAAGTGGTTCATGCTGCAAATGATCAGAACTTTAATTTCAACTTGAATGGACCTAATCGGCTTCAACTCAATTCAAACGACGCGGGAGTAAGTTTCATTGTTCGTCGTATTTTCATTTCACAGTTGTATTCTTAAAAATAAAAGTTCTTTTTCCCACAGGATTTGAATTGGGTGGCAACGTACATAGCAACGTCGTTAGCCGATTAGGTCTATTATGTTGTTAAGGAAATAGGTTGTTCTTTCGTATTGTGACCATAGCATAGTATTTTACTTATCATATAAAAACGTGCTACGTGAATTGCCCTATTATACTGTTTGTGGTATTCTTGTAGCTAGTCATGATTACAGTAGCCCATTACTAGATTAGAATTAAGTACACTGTGATAACTGCTTCCTGTTTAATAAATCATACTAATCATATTTAAATCAAAACCAGCATCTTCCAAAAWGACTGCAAGACGGTGGGMGAGTTYAATTTCTTTAATTGAGTTTTKAACTTTGAATTCGAGTCCTGATAAGTGTTGTTTCATCTCGGCGTCATAATTGGCGTCACTTTCTTGAGAAAGTACAGGAAGGAGAGCCGACCGGAGARCCTGGGTTCAAATATATAATTTAGTATTAAAGAAGAAAATCACTGGAGCCATGAAAAAAAGTTGCATTTATAAATCTAGTATGATTGATATATATGTTAGTGATCACGATACATCTATTTGGAATAATTCTGAAGCACCAACACCAATTTTCATATATATCAAAAGTGGCCTTAGAAATTCTGGATGCCATCACTGATGGCTTTTTTAGTAGAAATTCTGGAACATTAATAATTCATGAGCGATTAGTCCAATGAGTATCCGAACTATTGGGTCACATGATGGACCTTTATATCCCGATAAAGGACTGATGTTTCTGGAATTCAGTTACTACARTTCAGTCAGACCGTTAGTATTAAWGCAAGGGCGCTAGAACTGAAATTATGACCTATAAGATCCAAAAATTGCTTAATTTATCCAACGTAAGATGGCCAGGGCACATGCAGGGCAAAGTGATTTTAATCCGGTTAATGAATAACGTTCCTGGCGAGACAGCAGTGGCTGGTACAGCAACGACAGCGGTAATAAATTCAGCAACAACCGCTTGAGTAACGATCATTTGAATGAATTTCGTAAAATCAAGTTCTTTTTAGTAGCTAAGAGGACATTTCAGTGTATATTTCAGATAAGTAAAACTTTACAATTTATTATCGACTATCTTATGTTGGATAAAT